ATTTTTTTCCTCAAAAAAAATTGACAACTTTTACCATTGAATTACAGCCCGTTGTGGAAAAAAAAAAAGTGGTCCAAGAAGTAAGCACGTACTATATATACATATATTACTCTATTTTGTTACTTTTTTTTAGGTAGTTTGGTATTCGAAATTTACTAATTTGATTTATATATACAATATAGTTTTCAACCAATAGCATAAATGGGTTGTGGATTCGGTAGAAAATGAAGGACTTGAGTAAATATAAAAAAATGGGGGTTGAATGACTATGTAGAGAATCAAACCCTCACCTATAAGATTAAAGTTCAGATAGTTAACTAACTAAGCTACTATAATTTTTTCGAGATGAATTTTTTTTTACATTGATAAACAAAATTATTTGATATTTATATTGATAAAAGATATACAGAAATAAATATCTCGTAAAATAAATCGAGTACATCAATTATGGCATCTATATCCTGGCCAACTGTGCTAGCAAATTAGGGGTCCCTTGGTGCCGCATATCATTAACTCCCTCAACTTGGTACTTAACTACATGGTTGTTGTGAATAGTAGGATCCACGAAAATGATTAATTCCTTTTTTATATCAAAGATATTTTAAAAATATAACGTACATATATTACTTGTTTTATTATTACACTTGGTATATACTATATACTATATTATATAATATAATCATTAATCTGCATGGTTGATTTGCGAACACGTTGCAAACTGCTTTTTCTACTGTAGAAAATACGGCAAGAAAGTAACTTCCATCTTTGTATTGAATTTGAACACATAAAAATCATTATATAATATATTATGTTAAATAAAGCTTAGATATTTTAGAAGTTTATATTGAGATCTCTTCATTTTTAATTAAAGATTTCGAGTTTGATATTTATCAATATCACACAACAACAAAACATACTTTTACTTGCGATTTTCGAGGACTTTCACAATTACTTAGACATTAGTACATGACGGATTCATTCTTTAAAATTTTTAGTATTGAAGTAATTATCGCTGACATATGGCAAATTAAAGTCTAATGAGTTAAAAGAAGAAAAATGTGTTGACAAATAACTTTCAAACTCGTACTGTTTTACTGTTTTTTTCCCCTTTATGTTTGGCTCTAAAGAAAAAAAATTAAACAATATTTATAGTAAGCTTTCACTATGTACGAATTTGAAGAAAGATAGAATTATAATGATTTATTATATATAATTTTATCTTGTATTACTATATAAGATTATTTTTACCGTTCAAATTCGTGACCACTTCATGACAAAACAGTAAGTTAACTAGTTACGACTTACGAACAGACTATCCCTTCCAAAATTACTGGTTAGTGGTTTCTAATTAAGTACTTTAGATATGAATATATTGATGTTCGAATTAATTAAATAGTACTAATATGACAATGCAACACTTATGAACTTGAATTTGAGCCATATATATATACGTACGTTGCTATCAGTGGATTAATTATCTGTGCTATAACACAGGATCAACTTTTGATATATGATGTGACAAATCATCAATCAAGAGGTCTTCACGTAAATTGTCGCCGGTGGCTAGATTATATTTGACACGTGTTAAAGAAAAAAAAATGTTTGAATCGAATAATTTTAAATTAAAATTATAATGAATGTGTAGATATTGAAATTTTGTGAGACTCTACAAGACGTGTTCAATTCGAGTTGAGACTTTACAAGGTGTGTTCAATTTCAATTAGGATTTGTAGAGGTTATTCAATCATAAACCCTACTTCATGTCTATATAAAGAGACGTACTATATTCCCTTGAAAAGAAATCTCGAATATCCCACAAAATTTGAATTTGAATTTGATCTCCTTATAAATATTCCATTAATTTGTGATACGCCACAAACATCACTCAAATCACGGATAAATCTTATGAGAGAAGAATCAAGGGATAAACGAATTTATACCCGCAATGTTTATCAATAAAATATTCATGTTTCTTCATATTTTATTTGTGAACAAAATGTACCAAAACAAATTTGAAAATAAGAGTGTACTTATCTTCCCTGGAAAATGGTCTGAAAAATACTCCAACTTTGACCGAAATTACTGTTACGATCAGAGGCGAATCTAGGATTTTTTGAACATGGGTGCACCAAGTAGAATGTATTGAAGTGAGAATTGATCCTTCATCCTCAAGGTCAAAAGCTCAACATTTAACCATGTGGACCATTTAGACTTCTTGTGGTACGGGTGCAAGAATATAATATTATACAAAATCTTAAAAAATATACATATAAAATATCTAATTTTACGAAAAGACCACGGGTGCGGATGCCCTTTTTTTTGGCTCTAGATTCGCCACTGGTTACGATACCAAACTTTGGAAAAGACCTTTTACCCCCTGTACTATTTAATAGTGTATTTTAAAAGTACATATGTGTCTATGTAGACATCATAAATATTGCATCATTTTAAATAGTAATGTGTCCACATGGGCACATATATACCTTTAAAATACACTATTAAATAGTGCAGAGAGGTAAAAGGTCTTCCATAAAGTTTGGTATCGTAACAACAATTTCTGTCAAAGTTGAAGTATTTTTCAGACTCTTGTCCCTATCTACTCAACTACTATATATTATTCGTACGAGTAAAATGGGATATATATATATTATTTTTCCATTTTTAATCAAAAAAAATTTATTCGAATTTTTGGAATAAAATTATTTTTATTTGCAAATGTTTTATTCCTTCATATAGGATTTTCTATTATAAATTCTAGTTTTGTTAAATCTAAAATTAATAATTTATACCTATCGGCTATCACGGACTATGTTTAAAATGGACAGGCCAACCATGCTTAAGGAAGAAAGTAAAATTTAGGACATTTCTGCGAAATATCTCTAATTTGCTTGACATGATAGCACTTCATCCATTTGGGACCATCACAATAAGTTGTATTGCGGGACGTTAAATATTTCTTCATTTTTAATTAAATATTTTAAATTCAAATTTTTAATATAATATCAAGTAAAACTTTACGAATTATAATTGAATTCAAATCAATCAGGTCTCGAGAAGTATCAATTACTGAATGAGATATTAAAAAGAAGAAAACATTTAGGACCATATGAGTTATATCTTGAACCGTGGACTTAAAAACCCGACCCGAATAATGAAGTCGTGACCGCGACTTGAGTCAGTGACGCCAGCTATTGGCAAACGTATGACGTCATAGGCTTGGTGTTCGTCTTCTTCTGCCACGTCATAGGCATGATGGCTGTTCTACTACAACTATGGTCCACGCCCCTTCCAAAAGCGTGCGTTACAAACAGCACAAATATTTTATTTTCTTTTCGTGCCTTTAATAATTCCAAATAAAGTCGAAGTCTGTTATGTGAGTCGAAACACAAGAAATAGATAATGATATATAGATGTCAAGAGCTATAGCTATGTACAAGTGGACAACTAGTATGCCGACGAACACCAACAAAATTGAACCGACGAAAAGCAAGATAACACTTCATTACGTACTACTCTTCTATTCTAATACGTGATCTCCACACCATTCTATTGATCTAATGTCCTCGATCAGCAATCTAAAAATACACTATGTCATGTTCAATTATCTCTCCTCAATGCGTTTAGTCAGTTAACACAATAACATTAATAATGAACATACATCATATATCAAACTCAATTGACATTGTGTCAGTTTGCACTTAGTCAGGTAACACAATATCATTAATAAAGAATATACATCATATACGAACCTAATTCGCTATTGTATTGGTTAACTCGTATTAAAAAAAAATAAACAAGTAGAAGCTCAATATCAATCATTATACGGTAAACCACGATTAAGAAAACCTCCTTGTATCAACTACTATTATTTTCACAACACCTTCATACGTAGTCTTTATGATATTTATATATTTATGACAATTCATTTCTTTTTCCATCACCTATAAAAAAAAAAAAAACTTTTTTGATACTTTATCGAATGTAGGGGTGTTCATGGTTTGGATAAAAATCGATCCAAACCGAAAAATCAAACCAAATCGATTTAATTTGGGTTTTGGTTTGGTTTGGTTTTAGATTGTTAAGAACCGATACTATTTGGTTTGGTTATGGTTTTGTTCGAAAAAAATCGAAGAAATAATCGAACCGAACCAACAAGTTATATACATAAATTTTATTGTTATACATACATAATATATTATATTCATAAACAATTTTAAAGATTTTATATATGTTTCATCAAAATTTATTTTTATAATTTACTTATGAAAGAAAAAATGTCCAAGGTGAAAACATTTTTCTTATTGGTTTCATGTATATGAGTGTCTATGAAAATTCTTTGTGGGACTAAAAATGTCATTGTCTCTTCCTTCTATGCCAAAATAGTGAATTTTGAAGTTTTATTCAGTAAATTCAATGATCGAAAGTTCTATAATGCTAGTTATTCTAACTATTTTTTTGTTTGAATGGATTGTTGTCACTTTTTTCACGTTTTGAATGAATTGTTTATTTTATTTTATTTTTATGTTTGGTTAATAACCGAATAACCAAACCAAACCAAACCAAAACCGAAAACAACCAAACCGATAAATGTATATTATATTTGGTTTGGTTTGATTTTGATAATTTTAAAACCGATTAAGTTGATTTGATTTTTATTTTGACCAATAACCGACCCAAACCAAATCGGGAACACCCCTAATCCTATGCTTTTTTTAAATCAATAAACACGACATATCATAGATTTTTTTTTGTCTTTATGTAGTGAACACAACTCTCTATGAAATGAGCCTTGGGAAACATTAAACCCTCCTTTCTCTCAACTCCCTTTCTATCTACTTCTAGTACTTCATTTCTTGTGTCCATTTACCATCCACTTGGCTCTTTCCCTTTCTTCACTCCAATTTTTTCTTTTCCTTTCCTTCCCTTTCCTAGAAAAAAACCCAACTTCTCCAATCTCCATTTCCCTAAATAGCCCAAAAACAAGCACAAAAATATATTCAATGGATAAAATGCTTAGTGTACATTCAAAAAAAGCAAACAAACACCCCCAAAACACCAAAAAAAAAGCCAGTTAAAGTTGTTTATATTTCAAATCCAATGAAAGTTAACGCAAGTGCTGAAGAATTCAGAGCTTTAGTCCAACAACTCACTGGCCAACACGCTAACTACCCGGTAACCGATACTAATATCCGTACTGCTGACGAGAAAAAAGAATTTTATTATTCAGAGTCGCCACCAGGATATGATCAGCAACAAGTTGTTGAGGTAGATAGTACTACTCATCATCAAGTAGTACCTAATTATATGAATAGTACTAATGAAACAACGATGACCGATAATTCGGATCTATCGTTTGAAGATTATGTTGGAGAAGATTATGTTCCAGAGTTGTTGGAGAATTTGCCTACAAATCATGTGTGGTATGACTAAATGAACTTATTAATTTTTACTTTTGTTTAAATCTAGTTAATTAACTTCAAAAAGAAGAACAAAAAAGGGCCTTGAAGGCAATGTAAATTAGAAATTAGCTATTGTTATAACTAGTACTTGGGCTTTATGCCTTTGTATTAAATTGTGATGTAATTTTTGTCATATATATGCTACTACTAGGTGATATTATTTAGTAGTAGTAATATGAATAGCCTAGCTAGCCATGTCCAACTTGCCTTGATATTTTTGTATTTAGTGGCTAGTATTGCAACTTGGAAATAAAAAATAAAATTGATTTTGGTACTACTAGTTAACTATTCATTCAAGATTTACTTTGTCGCAGCAGAAAGGATTATCTTATTCTTCTATTCGATTTTTTTTTTGTTATCGATATTACTTGTTACTATTCATTTCTCCATTATTTTCTATACAACTCCGGTACTACTATATTTCCTTTTCTTATTGATTGTTGTTCTGTTTTACTTGAGCCAGTTGTCTATTGAAAATAGTCTCTTTACCTTTAGGTAGGGATAAAACTGAGTGCACACCGCACACTCTTTAGACTCAGCTCGTAAAATTACAATGGTTATGTATCGTTGTTTAAGTTTAGTGAATGGAGTAGTATTTCATCGTCTCTTTTTTATTCTCGCCCTTCTTGGAGAAATTAGGGTAGTCTGTTAGTGATAAAGTTGTTATTATGTGATTAGAAGGTCATGAGTTCGAGCTATTGAAATAGTCTGTCGTAGAAATGTAGGGTAAGACCGCATACTGGAGACCCTTATGGCCGGTGCAACTCTTCTCCCAAATGTACCAGGCTGCTAAATAACTATAAAATCCGTTGTTAATTAATCCATTGCTAAATAACTTATACTTAACTAACATGACTTTTAGATAATCCGTTGTTAAATAAAATTAACGACATATTTTCTTGTAGCGCCGAGCTATCAAAAATAACGTTGGTGAGAAACTTGGGAAGAAAAGAAAACGGAGAACCTTGTATTAGATGAATATTGCTTTATAAGACATATATAATTTGTTTCATTTTTCTGATTATTAAAAATGATAGTGAGAAAATCCAATTCATTGATCAAGTGAAAAAAGACATAAACAATAAAATGATTTCTTGAGTTATTACTCTTCCTTTTTTCTTTCTAATTTAATCGTCCACCCTGGCTTTCACCTCTCGTGGTAATGGAGTTTGGCTTGAACCCCTATCGTAACCTATACCTTCTTGTGTGTTCTATCCCTATTGTAAGCTCCCTGCAGTATGACCTAAGGGATCGAGCTCATTTAAATTATTCGAGGTATCTACTAATTAAAGCTCTAGGTTTTGCCAAAAGTTCACATAGTTTGACTCTGATATTTTGGAATGGAGATAGTACATGGTAAATTAATGTGATCAGTAAATTTCTACAAGTTGATAGTAGTAAAAATTAGGCAAAGTGTAGGATTTTTTTGAGTGTAGGGTGGATTTTCATGATTTTCAGCAAAGGTGTGCTGAAGAGATCCAAGGACCAAAATTATTTCTGCAAAAAGTACTTTGGTGCTAACTCTAATAATTACTATATCTATCTATTTAATTATGACTATTATACCTATGTTGCTTTGGACATTAAATTTTTTTTGTTCGTATGCGTATCAATGGATTTTTTTTTAAAAAAATAATGTGTTTTTTATTTGGAGGAATCAACACATGTGTGATGATATTTTTTTGAGAGATCGAGCAATATAGGATACAAATACTTTAGTAAGTTGAGCTCAATCAATTCAAACAAGTTTGCAGCAAAAAATATGTTGACCAAATTATGAGTCTCTATGAATATTAATTCATGAAAATAGTGATTTATTAAGTTTAAATGTGAGTATTAGAAGTAAGGGTATATTTGAGCTCATCTGATAACGATAAGAATATTTTTGCTCCCGACTATATGAATGCAGTTATTTACATATTATTATAAAGTGTAAATAAATTATACATCGACAATAATACCTTTTAAGAAGGGAAATCTCAGACCAACGGAGGTAAATTGAAGAAAATAATTTAATTGAATTTCATTTGTCGAAAAGTCGTATGACTCTGATATGCAAATAGGGCAAAAATACATTTTTTTTTTGTTATATTTAAACCGTTGAAGCGACTGATTTGAGAAAAAAAAGTCTAGTAAATTAAATTATAAAAGGGTTCAAAATTGTTTTAGGTCATAAATTCAATTTCCAAAGACGACAAAGATAAACAATAACATCCGATCCATTATTTACAGATTTGTCACTGCAACTAATTGCATCACGTTCATGCACCAAGTAATGTGTTTGAAATGTGCGATTATTTTATCTAAAAATATAAGTGGTTAAGACTTCGGAACATTACTATAAAAAAGATTTTTTATTGTAAATTAATGAGAAATTTATGTTATAAAACATGATTTTTCCATCTATTTCTTATATTAGAGTCCAACTAATCTAGCTTTGCACATTATAAGAACTATTTCTAGGATTGATGCTTCTAACATAATTTTTTTTCAAAAGGTTCAAAATCAAAATCTCTAGTTAAACCTTAAAGGTAGAGGAATCCCAATAATTCCACTGCAACTCATTAGTATTGGTAAAGTTGTTCATGTTGTTAGACCAAAGAAGACTATTATATATAACATTTCACAGCATATATTAGAACCTTATTTGAAAAATCACAAAGATATTATTCTAACATACATTAATATCTTAGCATATGCTAAAGTACTGTCAAAATCAAAAGAGGTACACACATTTAGTTCAAGTAACTATTGTATATATATAATCACAATAATATATTCAGTGTAATTTTATTTTGAAAAAAATCAAATGTATACGTCATGCAATAGTCTTATTACCCTTATATTATGGAGATAGAATCGTACGGCTCGAATACAAAAAAATTTAAATATGTAAAGGAAATATAGTATCAATATATCCTTTTTATCTTTCTTTTTTTCCTCTTCAGTTGGGAATACTATTTTAATTTCTAGGGTTTTGTCATTTATGATGAATAAAACAAAATCTGATGGCTAAAGCCTTACCTTACTGGACAATAAATAAATGAGGTCCTGTTGTAAATAAATTACTATGAGTTAGTTGATGCCCTACACCCATTTTTATCATTATAGAATATAGAATGTTTATTTTTATGAAAAAAAAACATTTTCGATTATAAAATAGATTGGATAAAATTCATGCTCGATTAAAGTATATAACATAGATAAATAGAATGAAAAAAATTAATCACCACAAAAAGGTTGAGATTTGAGAGGTGATGAGGTCCTATTGATTTGAGTTTGGAAGAATAAAATGAAATTATAAGATGTTAAAATCCATCCCTCTTTTTTTTTATCGAGTATAAACTTGTATGTGTGCACATGATACGTTTTAACTAAAAAATTTACTAGGTAATTAATTAGGGATCATTTGGTAATTGATTTGTTTTAAAGAAATTTGACTATATTTGAAAAATGATAAGAGATATACTAATTAAAGTGTTTAACTTCTAACCGTTCGCGTATAAAAAAAAGTGTACTATGATCACTCACCTAAAAGAATTACAAAAAGAAAAAGAGATAATTAAGTTACTTACTACACTATATTAAAATATAGTGATTATACAAATTCACAATATCAATGTATATAATTTTGACTTAGCAGCATGTAAATATTTAAAATTCGTGAATTATTTAAAGGTGAAGGAAACATGTAGTTATATTTTACATGAAATTCACAAGTAAAATGTTGTTTGTCATTATAAAAGTAGTAGTATTTTTTCCCAACAAATAAAATGCCGACATTGCTTTTAATTATGGAGGACCCCCAAACTTAGCTTTCAAAATTTAAATCAACTTATCCACTTGCTCGATATAGTATTGAATGCATCAATTGATCCCATTCATATGATGAATTGTTTTTATTAAACATATTCAAATTTTTTTTTTGCGTGTATTTTTAAACCCTCATTACGTAAAATGCGTTAACTATTTAAAATATATCACATTTTTTAATTATACGTATTAGTGTTAATAAATCGTAAAATTCAATCTTGCTAAATGCTAATGTGTATAACAAAAAAAAAAGTGTGGTATATATTTATATATATATATATATATATATATATATATATATATAAATAATGGATACTTGAGAATATACCTGCACAGGAAATTTTTTAAAATTTGAATTGAAAATATCTATCAGAAGGATCATTGTAGGGTTATTGTGAATAAATGTAAATTAATAAATTAAAGTTTTGTAGCGCAGTGTATAGTAGTATCAAGTATGGTTGATTTTCCATGACAACATAACGCTAATTAAAAAATCTTAGGCACACAAGAGTTAAGGGTAAATTAAAAATTAAAGTAGGTAACATGATGCTGGGTATTTAAACATTGATTCGAGATATTTTCTATATCTTTTTTTAGTGTTTATCAAGAAAAAGCACACTTTAAGGCATAATTTCATCTCCTTTGAAATGATAACGAAAAAATTAAACGTCAAATTCCTAAATTATCATAAAGACTCAAACGCATGAGATGCATAACACTTTTTAAACCTTTGAAAGGAAGTGTTCAGTTTGATTCTAATGGGACATAATATGTAGTCAATACTTATTTAATATGATTTGAATGCATATATACTTACAAAAATAAATATTTATATTGTTTATATTATAGAAAATTCCATATATATAAATATATGTCTCGTGTTTTTTAAATTTAAGCACTTAACATGCTAGTAAAATGAAAATAATATTCAAACTAATATTAATGAAATGTGTAGTATCTTTTTTATAATTTTGATGTTCAGGCTATTTAGCACGCACCAAGACTAATTTCACACATATCTAGTACTATTTTTCACCATTAAAAGTGATAACACTATCAATTAAGACTTGAATAAATGAGAAGATTCATACGATCATGTGGCGAAAATATCGAAGATTAACTAGCACACAATTGTAAACAAAGAAAATAAAAAAAAAATAACATGAACATTTAATTAGATTCAACTAGGCCTACTCCTCCAAATAAAATTAAATTGTTACGAAAATATCATGTATTAACCAGAAAAAAGTTTAAAATATTTCACATTAATTCACACTTTTACAACAATAATCAAAGTTTAGGGGTCAAATATACAATACTCACATCTTTTAAGATAGAAAAGAGTTTTTAACAAAACCCCTCATATTTAGACCCAATAACAATTCATTACTCATCAACAAAAACAGGAATTCAAAACCCTAGCTCCTCA